GTCTATTTTAAGCATTTTTCAGAACGATGTTTGTAAGGGTTTTTAACAGTGAACTTTTTTTTTTCATGGTGTTTTGCCGCTCTACATTGTTGACATTTTCTTCACTTGCCTTCAGAGTGAAGAAGTGATGTCACGTGAACAAGTCAAGAGATGTTCCTCAGTGAGGGAGGGGGCCCCAGATACAATAAAGCTGCTTACGTTTACCTGAATCCATCGCTCCTGCCTCAAAATAGATTGCCCACGACGACGAGGCTGTGCCTGCTGATTATGCACAAATGATTTTAAGCCGCCTCTCATCTCCTCTGTAAAAGTGTGGTGGGCGGGTGAAAGGCAAGCAGTTCCAGCCTCGGGCAGCTATAAGCTGACTCGCTGACCTTGGGCGCAAAAGCAGGGTTAGGGCGCAACGTCTGTATCCCATTGTCAGGGGAACATTGCAAACAACATAACCCTAACCCTCAAAAGTGAGGCATCTCATTTCGCAAAGCGCCTGCTGGCGTGACTAATCATTGTAGCTCCAATACCATCACTTCTGTCATGAGACAGACCAACAGTAATAATTTCATCATATACACAGTTAACACGAACCCACACTCAGGACTGAGTGCGCCAGCGAAGATGCTGTTACATGTAGACGGTAAAACCGAACAAATGTAAATGGTCCAGTGTGTTAACTTTAGGAGGTTATATTTTTAGAATTTGAGTATCTTTAGGTTACTAGGATAACCCCAGTTCTTAAAAACTGAGTTAGGTATTTCACTACGAGAAGCGCCTTCTAGTGTGACCAATCAGGAAAAATAATAAATGTAATTAGGCTAACTCACACCATGTAGGTGCAAACCTTTTAGTGGACATTTCCCTACCCTACTGAGAACCTGGAGAGTAGTTTCGGTCTCCCTGCTCCTCTCTTCTGTTCCGGTCCAGAACATCTCCTCCTCGCCCAAACTCACCCTGAAAGATGTCCATGGTGAACTTTGAAAGCTAAAACTGGTCCAGTCTTGCAGCAGCACTGTTGTCCTGTGCTTTGCTGTCTGTGTGCGCTCCAAATGACACCTTCCACTTTATGACCTGCATTCCAGAATATAAACGCGAATGCACACGCGCGCGAACGAATGCGCGCATGCGCGCACACAGAAAAATAATAAGTAGGCTAAATATTGTTTTATGATTAATAATTGTGGACACAATTATTGGAATATGTATTATTAAATGGCATTTAAAGGACCTGTCTAGTGTGGAAAACACAGCTTCATACACCAATCACTGTACAAGTAAAGTAATAGAGCTCAATAGACTACCCGTCGTGCTTTTCAGCCGCACCTGCCTCATTCTTATACATTTACAGAAATAAATAAATGAAAAAAATGAATTAATTCCAATATTTACATTTTACGTTGTCTTCTAGCTCCCATTCTTTCTTTCTCTGTATGACCTGTCCCCTTCCAGGTCTCCATGGTGGATGTGTCATATGGATCAGGTCCCACTTGGTGACACCCGAAGTTATTCAATGTCTCCCTGGAGCCACATTCTTCACATACCTTTTATAAATGTGGTCTTCAAATTTGGCATATAATGTGATTTTGTTGATTTACAGCATATCTTTCCATCCTGTGACTCTTTCTGTGGTTCCATCCATTTTGCTTTTTTGGAGATTGTACAGCCCTGAGGCTGTGATTTTGGGCTATATAAATAAAAAATTACTTGACTTGACATTCATTCTTTAATTCATCGAAGTCACAACACACACACATTTTTTAATTTAATTTATTAAGGTGACAATTTCTATATTACACATCTTTCATGTACATCAGAAATTAACCAGGGAAAAGAAAATATAGTGTTACCATAAACCTCTTATTAAAACCTTTCTTTTACAAAAGAAAATTTGTTATTGACACCATTTACAACTTGTTTTCATATACAGGAGAGTGACAGTGGTTTAGTCGTACATGGAAAATTCTAGAGAACAACAAAAAAAAGCAGTGAATTATGATATTTACATATTTGCTTAACTACCATGTCCCCGGGATTTTAATATGTGGTCGACCCACAACAAGATTAAAACAACACTCTGCATCAGGGGTAACAATCTGAGGCAAAACTGTAAATAGGCAACTTTACCAATCAACCTTTCATCATGATACATTCATTATATTACACTGATTTTGTGTCAGTAGTTGCTATCACAGGTGAAGTCACAATAACCTATTGAAACAGGCTTTGTGTCATCAGCTAAAATCTTACAGCTTTTCCACATTGGTGCAGTTTCTTCTAAAGAACTTATCCAACTCCTCTTGGTCTGGTTACTTCTCCACGGCAAAGGTCAAGAAGGACTGACCAGAGTCCAGAGTATTCATTTGACCATAAAGCCCACGTGATCGATCCTCTCTGCTGGCATCAAGTTGCTAAAAAAGGATACCTGATGCCTGAGTGTGGAAATAAGGCTACCTGAAGGCTAATGACAAACACCAAAGACCATCTCACAGTGCATGTGGAAACTAAGAGCCTAGAGTTACTAACAACCAGGACTGCATGCCCCACATGCTGCAGGAAAAGAAAAGATTGGAGAGATTTTTATTTTTAAAAGTGCTGTGCTTTGTCAGACTAACAACACCAGAATCTAATATTGCTCAGTAACCAGCCTGTCCTTTCAGCGTGTAATTAATTAATTCAAAAGGACACTCCAAAATGAGCGACTACACTACCTGGTGTTTTTATTTCAAATAGATACACTGGATTCATTTTCTTCTTTAACTCTGGTACTGTTGATCAGATGTGGTGTACTTGCAGCCAAACCAAACATGCATTTGCAATTATAATATAAAGACTCAATGTTGGGATATCACATTGGTAAAGCATTTGGGGGATTCTTTGTACGCACACAAAATAAGCTGTTTTGGGGATCCTTAAGCAACACCCCAGTAAGAATCTTTACCTAAAATCATATCTTAACACATCTTAAAAAAGGAAAACATAGCCACACATATTATTTCATTGTATGTCTCACAAATTAATTTGGAAGCAGTGTCTTTGTAAAACTGAAAAAGACTTATGAAGTGAAAATACATAAAATGTGACTAAGGGAAGGCAAACGTTTGAAGTACGGCACTGCATCTTTCTGACAGAGCTTTTTAAATGAATAAAAATCATATTTGTTTTTCGTAATGATTTTGTGGTTTGCTGTGGGGCAAGGACGAGTTAAAATAACGTACATCACTCACCTTCAAATGCTACATGTGTACAAGGAGCTACATGCATTAAGATTTTACCTAAACTAAATAAAATGGATTTGGTTTGACTTGCATTTGGTGTTTTTTCACTCATCCATCTTGAGTACTGAATACATTGAACACCACTTTAAAATACTTCATCTTCAGGATCTTGCTTCTAACAAGACCGTGAATTAAAACAAACAAGGTGTCAAATGTCTTTGATATTGAGATGAATAACTTCTCTCAGAACACTCTAATCCAAGACGCCTGGCTCCACATCACAGTGTACAAACTCCGGCCCTATAAAACTAGGGTCAGTTAAAGTTCTGCAAAAGTCTTCCAAATTTACCACCACTATAAATAATGGAGGTCACAACACTTTTCACAATCATTAAGTGATTCACAGATCAAATACTATAGAACCCAGAGTACAAAACTGTAGCTCTCGTTACTTATATTAAGCATGTCTCCCAAATGTCTTTGAAGCACCAAGATTGTTATTTAAGCGTTAAATTGGAGCACCCCTTTGTATATATTGACTAAGTCAAAGCTATCATCTTATATTGCCATGTTACTGTTCACTTAGAAAAAACATCTACTTAAGTCATGAGTCGAGACGAAGAAGGTGTGAGAGATTTGAGGATATGATGATGGAGTGAAAATGATGTGGATGATGCTATAAAAGTGGATGCAACAAACAATCTTAGAGCAACAAAGTTTTGTTTTTGGTGAAAGTTAACCCTATTTTAGAAAAAACACACCCTCTCAATCTTCCCTTAAAATGTAACACTTTGACATTCACCAGATGCTTTAATGCAGAGCAACTTAAGAGGAAATCAGGTAGTCAAAGACACCTTGACAAGAACCTGTGACCCTTCTGGTTATGAGATTTTGACTGTAACCCCCAAGGCCAGGGCCATTACATGATCGTGTGTGAATGGGGGAGGGGAAACTACAGAAGTCCCATTAAACAGATGTCATAGAGGGTGAGTTTTCAGGATCCCATGCATAATTTGCCGCACATTCTAAGAGATGGGAGCAGCCTCCTTGTTTTGGTTCAAAAGAAGACAAAATGTTCACGTACCAATCAAGCATTGAGAGGCCTGCTGCGAGCATGGTGTACACGGTAGACGCGAAATCCCAGCTCCTTTGCAACAACATGCAGGCAACAGTCTCACACACACACCCTTAGAAGTACCACACAGGTGTGTGCGTGCATGCATGAGCACAAACACACGAAACACCCGCCCTTTACTTAAGAGGCTCCCTGAATTGAACACTAGTCGTCTTTATTCCTTCAGACTCCTGCACCCACTATTTAAACTTCTCCTTGGTTCTCTCACTCCTGTCCGAAGCCTTCCGTCTCCTCGATGGCAAACATCAGCTTCTCCTTCATTTGCTCGTAGCTCTTGTAGGGCGGCAAGTCCAGTCTGTTGAAGCTGGGCAGAATAAAAATTTCAGCATGACATTGGACTCTTCAAGTGTAAATTCAAGGTAAGACCTCTTTTAGAAACAACCGAATGAGCATCATACAAGACTTTGGTTTGATCTTTGAAGAACAACATTCTCATTATACCCATAAAGCTTTGTCCTAAGAGGTCTTTTCTTGTAGCTGATTGGGATTATGCCCCCCCTTATGACAACTAACCAAGCAAACAAACAAACCAAATTCAAGCAAGAAACATTACAGCTTCCAGCAATTAACTGCCACAAACAATCTTAGTGGGACCATAGCTTAGTGAAGTAACACCAAAAGCTTCCTGGGTTTGAACCACAGTCAATCTGCTGCGGGTTCTACAGGAATTAGCATGAACTCACCATGTGTGACTTCTGGGAAGCCAGTTTTCTTTTCCCACCTTCTCAATACAGAACTTCTGGGGACCGTTGCTTCCTGTAAAGTGAAGCCCAGGTCAGTAGGAGCAAAATGATCACAGTTAAATGAACACACCATCCCTGAAAAATCAAAACAGAATAAAACTCTGTCTGTCTGTGTTCGAATAAAGTTTGGAGCATGATCCAGACACAGGTCTAGATAAGTATTTCATCTGCATTTGGAATTAAATGCCAATATTAAAATGATATTGCTGTGATTATTACCCATAAGGTCAGCAAAGCCTCCTACTGGCAGACGACAGGTACCGCTGACAAACTGCAGCAGCCTCATCCTCTTCTCATTGTCCATCTCCTTAATAAACTGCAGGACACAGTCATATGCTGTTTAAAACACTTGTCACAACAAAACATTTACATTAAATGAGTTCAGAGTAAGATAAACAGCATCATAGAAAAAAAAAATGAGTGGGACGTTTTTAAATAGTTATATTTAGTGTGCACCAAAGGCTAATTTAGCATGGCCCAAAAAATGCACTTTTTTTTTTCTTGAATTTGTCAGAAAAGTATGAACCTGAGATTCTCCATTTGCAGGTGCTGCATAACATAATTCACACATTTAAGTATCAATCCAAATGTTTCGTACAGGTTCTGACGGACTTAATCTTCAACATGTAATACCACTAAAGAATTAGAATGAAAATCATCAATATATAGATAAAGAAACAGATAATAACAGAAGAAGAATTAAGGCTACACAGTATATTCATTTGGACTTTTTCAGTAATTAAACTCTACTTTCTCATGCCTGTAATATCTGTAAAAAAAAAAAAAAGGAAAAGAAAAGAAAAAAAAAAAAAAATTACTGCTGGTGCACACCGACCTGCCAGAACCATATGATCTGTTTGCTGCTTCGAGCGTAATGTCTGTAGATGGTGTTTCTTTGCCAGTCTGCCAGGTCGATCTCCTGCATACCACACAGCATCACCTGTAACAAGACACAAGTTTTTAATATTAAAATAATTATTTTATTCGTCTAGAAAAAGTCATAGTGCAGCATGTAAATGATGGAGCTTCCAGTTCATCCATACCTCAAGCTCTTTAGCATCAAAGTACTGCAGGTACTGCTGAGGGAGGACCTCGTTGAAGCCTTCAAAGAAAGCCTGTGTCTGCTCCTCCACTCCTCTGGACAGCCTCCACTCTGCGACCAGCCTGCAGGGGGAGACAGAGGCAAACACACACACAGATATTTCACTCCACCTCATCAAAACACAACTACATTAACAACAACATAAATTAATTATTGTGGTTTACTATATGCTTTATTTTTTAGAAAACTACATTGTAAAGAACTGTGTGGTCACAGAGTAAGATGAGATATAATCTACCGCGTGGATTATAATGTACTGAATTAAAAAGGCAGAATGAAAATGACTGAATCATATAACAAAACCGACCTGATGTACTCCTCCTTGTTCTCCTCTGTGACTTGGATGTCTCCTCCCCCTGGTTTCAGCTCATGGGTGGAGATTTCCCCCAGGATCTCTTTGTCAACGGAGAAGAACATCTCCAGCCCGCACTCCTCAATGTCATTATCCCTAAAGAGTGGGACAGACAATTACAGCACCATTGTTACAACACTGTCTGTCATCCATTCATAAAACATTGTAGACTAGAAAAAATGGGTGTTTAAACTCCCATTTTTGCAAATTGTTTAATTTCGATTGCCATGTCAGCCAAACGAACTCTGAGGACCTTGATAGTGCGTTTTGTACTGCTCTACGTGCTATAGTGGGACTTTCTATAACACAGACGGGAACTTGAACTCACTGACAACTGCTAAGCTCCATTAGCACCTAACTAAATAATGGGTGGTATTTTATTTTATGAATCTGTTTTTGGATTTATAGATCAGTCCCTGTATTCTGGATGGGTGATACATGGGGGATGTTTGGCCATGTTCTGGAGGAGCAGACATAGGCAGAGCTGTGCCTCTTCCTTACTGATACTGAAGGACCTACCAACATTTAAATCCACTCCAGCCAGTCAATATCAAACTTAAAACTGACTTCAACTGAATGCAGACCGTAGTGGTTGAAATGTGTGTGGTGGTGACATCAAACTTAAATACTAAAGCGTGGTGTGCTGCTTGTACCCTGAGTAATTCCTTAAAAGACAGCCCAAACAGATTAAGACTGCTTGAGCTGCCTATCCTATTCAAGAGATTGAGACAATGTGATTGATTAATTATTGTCACTTCAGCTGAATCAAATGGATCCTGATCCTACCTTGTGTTAATGTATTTACTAGATGACGATTTCAACAGTTGCCTCGCTCGTTAAATGTATGACTTTTTTCCTCAAGCTTAATGTTACAGTTGAATAACTCATTTCCTCTGACGTTAGCAAAAAGGCAGTTTTCATTTCAGGTGAGTTGACCCGCCTCTGCTGCTGAAATTAACTTCCTTTTCAGCAGTGTTTCCAAAAATAGACCTGTTGTTATAAAGTCTGAACCATTTTGAAGAGGTAACACTCAAAATGAAACGATCAAGACTCAACCTGGATTTGCATTTTGTGACTCAACAACTCGGAGATATCAGGAAATTACACCATCTACCGACACTATCATATCACATTTAGCAAGATGGTAAAAACGAGTCAGAATCTCCCTTAAACGTTCAAAGATAAAATACACAACCATTTGGGCAACAGAGATATACAGGGGAGGTGCACAACAGATGTACAATCTAAGGCCGTCAATCGTGTTTTTCATGATTAACTACAGAATAAGAAAGGTCTAAATTGCTTAATTTGCTTAACTCTCAAAGTGCCATCTGCATGGCTCTGTGTACTCACTTGATCCACATGAGGGAGTTGTAGAACTCTGGGTCTATTGACTCTAGGTCTTTGAGGGCCAACGGCTTGTTTAGGATGCGCTTGTAAAATGGCAGTGAGAAACCAGTGTCGATGAACTTGCCATGGAAAAGAGCCTGAGGGAGAGAAACACATGCTGCTTGATTATTGTTTGATTACATTTCTTTCAGAAGTTGCTGTGCAGGAAATTCTTCTCTGTGCAGTACAAACATACAATGATCTTTTATTAGCAGAGTTATTCATACAAATCAACACATGCAAAAATGACTTACCATCGCAATGAAGCGTCCTATGAACTTGAAATACTTGAGGTGGTCAGGGTTGATGTAGGAAGCAGGGTTGATCTGGAGACAGTAGTTATCTTTACCGGCATACTCAAACAGGCAGTACATGGGGTTCAGAACCTCATGGGAGAGCAGGAAGAACCACTCCCTGTAAGACAGGACACCATAGAAATGAGAAAAGGACAGTACCATAATTACTGCTAATGAATTAAGCAGCAAAAACTCAAAATCTCTGGTAAGACAGGTTACAAAATAAGTTACAAAATGTCCAAATAATCACCCAGAGGAGTCACTGATGGACCAGTGCATCTACAATCTATTTCATATTTACAGCCAAATATGTTCAGCCATGTTCTAACTTACCTGGCGACGCCACCGTAGTCGAGGCCTTCTTCTCCAGGGAAGATAATCCATAGTCTTCTTCGCAGATCTTGAGCATTGAAGCTCATTATCTAAAATAGAGACAATATATTGATAGATTCATTGTGTAATGACTGTATAATAGAACAGTAGCTTAGTGTACCAAGTACAGTTTCTCTCAACTGCTTAAACACATAAACAAAGTTAATCCAGTGTTTCCTCTATGTTGATTT